CAAAGTAAGAGATAAAAGTGAAGGTGTCACAATTTGAATCCCATCTCACTCAGGAGCTGACACTCTGAATACATTTGATTTCTATCCCGGATCAGAACTCGCTTTGGGATTCATGCTGGGCCAATTCACAAAGCAGAGAATCCCCTCAGTGAGGAAGGACCAGTAAATACTCAGTGGTGGAGGAAGACCGTAGGGAGGGTTTGGCGGAGCTGCTAGCAGGAGGAGCATCTGCCAGAGTCCGGACAACACTGAGGCTTTAAATGGGCTTGGCCGGCTCGAGCAGCCAGCCCAGCCCCACCCTGGCACGTGGAGGGCATTGTCATGTGGGTGACGGTCTGGAGGGACTGGCTGCAGCGCTGGATGCTGCACTGCTGTCACCTTCAGTCGTTTCATCCACACATGCCCAGCTTGTTGGAGTGGGACTGCTAAGAAGTATAAATTGTGCTTTTTATAGCTGCTCTACCTACGAGAAGTAATTATGCATTCTCTTCTTCAATGAAACAAAGACTTTGGTTTTAGAATGACTTTAATTAATGCAATTTTAACAAGACTGTTCAAGAGCTGACATCGAAGGTAAGAATCTTGCTTTGATGCACATGCCTCATGCCTTTTAAAACCTCATCCGTCCCACCACAGTGCTGTTTTTTTAAAGGGAAGTTAGCACCATCCGTGGATTTTATTTTATTTTATTTTTTTCCATCTGTGGATTTTAGACACTCCTTCTTTCCTTGCTGAGTCCAGAAAGGAACATATCCAAACAGCAAAACACTCCCTGGAGGCAGAACCAAGCTGGTCAGAGCCACATGGTCACTCAAGGTGGTGAGATTGAGGTTGTTAGAACCAGTATTCCAGGCCAGTGGAGGGAAGCTCAGGCTGTAACACAGGGTGGCAGGGATGGGGGTGGGGGGGGCAGTGGCGGCTGGAGGGGAGAGAGGAGAATGGGCAGGTGCTCAGATAAGCAGGCTGTGCCCTAACTTAAGGGGTGTGGAGTGGGTGCTGGTGACATGCCTGTGTGAACACGGTGGGGAACACAGCGGGGCCACAGCAAGGTCTTCACCAGGAAGCATGCCCTGCCATCTCCAACTCTCCACGTCAGTCCATGGATTGAGAGAAAGAAAGTCCTGGAAGAGCAGCCCAAGGGATGTGTGGCCCACCGGCTCCCACACCTCTGCTTCCTAATCTGGGCTCAGAGTCCTGGGAAGACCGGGGGCCACCCGCCTCGACGGCACAGTCCAGGGTGCCAGGGGCCCCCGTGATGTAAAGTGGCAGCAGTACCACCAGAAGGTGAGTCTCAAGGACCCGAGTTCGCACCATCTCCACGAGGCAGCTTTAATATCTCTTTTGAAATACTATACATTACCTGCCGCCTTGACCAGACACTCCGCACACCTCCTGCGTGACCCCACTGCCCGTCACTCTCAGGAACAGTCCCCTGCACTCCTGCCCTGTCTTCTCAGCCAACGTCAGGCTTGTTGGTACAGCCCGGCTCCCAGCGGGGCCTGGCTCGGCACGTTTTGCTAGTGAGCAGCCAGGTGCCCCTCTGTCCTTTGACAGGTAGGCTCTGGACATCCCCCCGGAGGTGAGGGTCCCAGGCAGAGCCTGGCACATGGAGCATGTGATGGAGGAGGAGGACAGGGAGGCTTCTCCCTTCTCTCACCGGGTGGAGACACTGGCGGCTCCCGCGCTGCAGCTGTCCACTCGGTGAGCCTCCTCCACGAAGGCTGTGAGGAGGGCCCACCCCGACCTTGTCAGCCGTGACGGGTCTGTCTCCTCACAAGGGCTCAACCCAACCCACAAGGGGTTGCTCTCTTGATCCTTACAGCACAGAGCGCCAGGGCCCCGGGGTCTCAGGGCAGGCTGGGCAGGGGAGTGGGCACCAGGGGCTCTGCTGCCTGACCTCATTTGGCAGCCCACGCTCCAACCTCAGAGGGGGACGCCTAGTGCTGCGTTCAGGGAAGCTGCAGGGCTGGGTGACAATCACAATGAACAGCCCGATAGAAGGGAAGTGGAGAGAGTTAAACGTGAATGAAAAGAGATCATTCACCTTCGGGCTGAACAATGGAATGGCCTGCCCAGAACAGGCCAATTTTGCTCAAAATGGAGCATGGGGTACTCACATCCCTGCACAGTGCTCGGCACCAGAGCTGAGCTCGGCTCTGAGCACAGGAGAGGCTCACAGTGAGCTGGGACCTAGCTCTGTGTTTACAACTGTGCGTGGGGAGAGACTGGAGGAGAAAACACAGGACAGCACACGGGAGAGGGGGAGGACTGTGCAGCCTCTTAGAGCTGTGGCTTTGCTAGACACCCGCTGACTGGAAACCCCCTCCACAGGTGGAACCTGTCCACTCTGGCCGGGCATGGTAGTAACCACTTGTGTTAGCTATCTTACAATAGGTGATACCAACAGGGAGCTTGGAACCAAGAAGTTACCACCAGCTGGAAGAATTTGGGAGGAGATGCCAGCCCCTAATAAGCTCTGCCAACCTCCCAGGAACCCTGGTGCTGGAATCCATCTTGGCTGAGAGAGGCACGCGCCACCAGCAAGGACCCTGAGTCAGACCAAACACAGGCCAAGCAAGATGACTGGCCAGAAACAAGCCGGTAACTAACCCCATTACCTTAAAATCAAAGACTGCGAGCCACGTGGTGAGTGGCTCTCCTGGGGTCCTGTTGCTCTCTGCCTGGGTGCCCTTCCCAGTTAAGTATTATGCTTTTTCAGCACATGTATCGCCTCAGACAATTCATTTCTGAGCATTAGACAAGAGCCCACTCTCAGGCCCTGGAAGAGGCCTCCCTCCTGCAACAGCTTCCACATCAGGAAGACAGGCTTCCGGGGACCCTGGCAGGCAGTTGTGAAGATCAACAACGAATCGATGATGTTTCCGAGGTCCAGGTGCTGTGGCCCTCCCAGCCCTGGACTGGGAAGAAGTGAAGCAGCCAGGAAGTGGGGACGTTCACAAGCCCTGACTCTGCAGCCTCTGTGCATTGACACTGCACCCCAAAGGCCGGGAGGCTGGAAGCCAGGCCCCTCCATGTCTCCCTTGGTCCCCAGGACAGTTCAGTTCAGTTCAGTTGCTCAGTCGTGTCCGACTCGTTGCGACCCCATGGACTGCAGCACGCCAGGCTTCCTTGTCCATCACTAACTCCCAAAGCTTGCTCAAACTCATGCCCACTGAGTCAGTCATGCCATCCAACCATCTCATCCTCTGTTGTCCCCTTCTCCTCCTGCCTTCAATCTTTCCCAGCATTAGGGTCTTTTCTAATGAGTCAGTTCTTCCCATAAAGTGGCCAAAGTACTGGAGTTTCAGCTTCAGCATCAGTCCTTCCGATGAATATTCAGGACTGATTTCCTTTAGGATGGACTGGTTGGATCTCCTTGCAATCCAAGGGACTCTCAAGAGTCTTCTCCAACACCACAGTTCAAAAGCATCAATTCTTAGGTGCTCAGAGTTCTTTATAGTCCAGCTCTCACATCCACACATGACTACTGGAAACACCATAGCCTTGACTACATGGACCTTTGTTGGCAAAGTAATATCTCAGATTTTTAACATGCTGTCTAGGTTGGTCATAGCGTTTCTTTCAAGGAGTGTCTTTTAATATCATGGCTGCAGTCACCATGTGCAGTGACTTTGGAGCCCCCCAAAATAAAGTCTCTCACTGTTTCCATTGTTTATGCATCTATTTGCTATGAAGTGATGGGACCAGATACCATGATCTTAGATTTCTGAGTGTTGAGTTTTAAGCCAACCTTTTCACTCTCCTCTTTCACTTTTATCAGGAGGCTCTTCAGTTCCTCTTCACTTTCTGCCATAATGGTGGTGTCATCCACATATCTGATGTTATTGAGATTTCTCCTGGCAATTTTGATTCCAGCTTGTGCTTCATCCAGCCCAGCATTTCAAATACATGACGTACTCTGCATAGAAGTTAAATAAGCAAGGTGACAATACACAGTCTTGACGTACTCCTTTCCCAATTTGGAATTAGTCTGTTGCTCATCAGGTTCTAACTGTTGCTTCTTGACTTGCATACAGATTTCTCAGGAGGCAGGTCAGGTGGTCTGATATTCCCATCTCTTGAAGAATTTTCCACAGTTTGTGGTAGAAGAAGTTTCCACAGTCAAAGGCTTTGGCATAGTCAATAAAGCATAAATAAATGTTTTTCTGGAACTCTTGCTTTTTTGATGATCCCACAGATGTTGGCAATTTGATCTCTGGTTCCTCTGCCTTTTCTAAATCCAGCTTGAACATCTGGAAGTTCATGGTTCATGTACTGTTGAAGCCTGGCTTGGAGAATTTTGAGCATTACTTTGCTAGCGTGTGAGATGAGTGCAATTGTGCAGTAGTTTGAACATTCTTTGGCATTGCCTTTCTTTGGGATTGGAATGAAAACTGACTTTCCAGTCCTAAGGCCACTGCTGAGTTTTCCAAATTTGCTGGCATATTGAGTACAGCACTTTAACAGCATTATCTTTTAGGATTTGAAATAGCTCAACTGGAATTCCATCACCTCCACTAGCTTTGTTCATAGTGATGCTTTCTAAGGCCCAATTGACTTCGCATTCCAGGTTGTCCCCAGGACAAGCGCACAGGAATTACGACTGGTTTGCCACTGACTGGGTCCCGAGGTCTCAGTGGAGCCTCATATGGCCCAAACACATGCATCCACCCCCAGACCCAGAAGGGCCAGGACGGGCTGGTTTCTGGGCCCAGCTCCCACTCCAGGATCTGACAGGGGTCTCTGCCATGGTCTCTGCAGCAAGCCCCCTCCAAGGGCCCATGAGCCCTGCACAGCCATGACTTGGGTAACAAGGGTCTTGCCCCCACTACCACAGAGCACCTGTCGGTGGGGCTGGGTGCCCCCTCTTCCACCCAGCAGACTTTCAGTAAGGAGAAACCACTCCTGTCTCCATCAGGGCAGGGCCTGGACTCACATGCTCACCCAGGCTCCCGTCTGGGGCTGTGGTCAGGGGACGGCCGCGTTCGAACACACCTTACCTTGCTAAAGCTCAGACAGTCTTTGTCCTGGTCTCTGTCCTTCATCTCGAAATCATAGAGTGCTTTGCCCTGGGGCGGGGCTGGGGGCAGCGGCCGCACGCCCTGGACGAAGCCGGCAGGCAGGAGGCCGTGGTACCAGAGCTCGTCGCCCCGGCGTTGTAGGACGACAGCATCCCCGTCGCCGGACCTGAGCTCCCCAGGCTCTGTCCCCTCGAGGTTGAGCAGGGCTTTGCCGGCAGGTGGTGGGGGAGGGCCCTGGAAACAGAACAGGTGTTACTCAGCGGCTGCCTGGACAGTGTCTGACCTGCGGGGCCCCCAAGTCTCAGAGCCCAGGAAGGGGGATACCTCTGAGGAATACAGGGTACTGACAGCCCACCAGGTATGCACAGCGCTTGGCACAACAGCCTAACTCGACTCGCCCCAGAAACATGGGCCACGCCCTGATGGACGGGGTCTGCAGAGGGTCCCCAGACATGCCCCAGGCCTCCCTGAGGGCTGCCGCATGCTAAGCTGGAAGGATGCTGAGGAGGAGCTGGGAGACCTTCATGCAGACTCTGAGAGGGACAGGGCCCCTACCCGGGCTCTGGCTCCAGATGCTTTGCCCACCACCACATGCTAACTGGTCATCCCCTGGGTGCCATCCCCCCTGCTGCATTCCCGGCTACCACCATCACACAGGACGGTGTGTCTGGGGGGTTTCAAGCTGAAAGGACAGACTTGCTGGGCTGTTTCGCACCCTCCCACATCACTGCTGCAGGGCCTGGGGGCATAGGCTCCAGGCCCACCAGGGGGAAAGGCACCCCTAGGGCTGAGAGTGCTCATGAGGGGTCCCGGCCGCCCCACCACCCCACATCTTGCCCGCCATGGCCCCTGGCTTCCGGAGGTCAGAGAAGTCTCATCCACAAGGGCCTGAGGCAGGTCCTCTTTAGGTCTCGGGACGCCCCCGTCCTCCTGTCAAAGGTCATCCAGCCCACTGCCCTTCTGATCTGTCTGGCCTCGAGCCACCCTCGGGCCCCCTGCTCTTGGGTAACACGGGTCCACTGAACCTCACACCTCGCGCCTGGGGCACCTGCCAACTAACCCCTGGTCTGGTTTGTGAAGGCCAGGGTGCCCGAGTTTCTCTCCTTCTTCTCTGCAGTGGCCAGTTCCCATGGGTCCCAGCCTCTGAGCGAGGGAAAGACAGGGGCCAGATGCCTCCAGAGCAGACAGGAGTGGGCCTAGCAGATGGCTCGGGCTCCTGCCACAGCCTCCGGCAGTCACGCCCATCTGGCGGTCGGAGTGCTGGGCGGGGAGCGAGCACACAACCTAACCAGCTCCAGCCACACCTGCTGAGGGGGCCAAGCTGCTATTTTGTCCTGTCAGTGGACCGGGAGGTGGCAAGAGGAGGCAGAGGAGGGGCGCAGGATTGGGAGAGGGGGAGACACCCACCTCACTAATCCCCTCCCTGCCCTCAGACTGTTAAGACCAGCATCTCCTACAGGACCGAGAGGAGGGGCCGCCTTAAGATTCGTGGTGGGGAAGGGAAAGCGCACTCCTGGGGGTGAAGAATAGAAGTCAGATGGTGCTAGGGGGCAGCTGCTGTGTTAACCCGAGCCTTTCCCCCCGGCAATGCTTGGAGCTGGTGGGTCTTGCACCCCCAGCCTCTCACCCTCTCATGCTTGATGAGATGAACTAAGGAGTCTATGATGAGATCCTGGCAGGTAGACGTGGGGCCAACAAGACTGCAGATGTCCCAGCAGCAACCAGAGGACCCCTGAGACCAGCCCCTGGCCCAACCTCAGGAAGCCTGCGGGGTCTCTGCAGCCCATCCCTCTAAGTACCCCTACGAGGAACAGCTGAATTGAACACCACTGCCAAGTTCCACTCCACAGGCTCAAGACACCCAGGAAACAAGATGAAAGGGGAGTGAGAGGGACACACAACTGGGAAGCCTACAACGATTAGCACAGCCACCCTGCGGGGCATCCGTGATAATGAAGACAGAAGACGTTGGGCTCACGGCTCAGGACTCGGACATGTAGGACCTGCGGGATGTCATGCAGGCACGGCAGGCCCCAGGTCTGTTTTCACTGGGATCGACATATAGGTGAGCTTTGCAGATGCACTCTTTGCACTCGGCTGCCCATAAGGCCCCAGAGAGACTGTCCCACAACCAGGTCTCACTGTCTGACCCCCAGAAAGACAGGGTGAAGAGTGTGGACAAAGAACTCATTCAGTCTTCAGACTCCAAGGACTCGCTGGTTCTCCCTCCACACCGCTCCCCATGGGGCACGTGTTACCAGTGTGGGGGCCCCGAGGACAGGCACCATCTGCTTCTACATTCGAGGCTGCATCCCCGACCCTGGCCTGGTTCAGATCACATGCTCGAAACACCTACCAAATGGCTGGCCCTGTGGGCCACCAAGCCAATCCTAGGACTACAGTTGGCTTAAGGCCTTGGGCTGGAAGGACTTATCCCAGGATAGGAGGTCGAGAGTCCACATGGCTCTAAACCTTGTTACCACTGGCCGGGCACAGATGACTGGAAATCCCCATGGTCACTCAAAGAGGAGCCAGGCCAAGTGAGGGCTAGGAGCTGGAGACACAGGGCCCGCCTCCTGGGGGAGACACACCCCGGTGAGTTCCTTGGACAGTGGGTGGGCCCCAGGGGGAGAGCACCCAGCCTCAAACCAGTCAGATGTCTCAGGGTCTCAGAAGGCAGCGGTGACAGCCAATTGTCCCCCAAGTCCACCTGCTCCTCCTGTCAGGGAGAATATTTCAAGTTTCAATTGGCGCCAAGCTCACCAGTTAAGAACTTCACCTCCCAGCCCTGCTTGAGGGGAACCCTGGCCACACGCCAAGATTCCAGGCAATGAAGGCAAGTGAGAGGGACTTGAGCCAGCTCTGGGCTGAGCTGTGTTTTGCAATGACATTTAGGAGGAAATTCCACTCCTAGTCTCTCACCTCCCAACACTTAACCAGAACCTCCCTCCCTGGGGGCGGAGGAGGGGGTTGCAGCATTTTCCACAAAGATGACACTGCAAGCAATGGAGGGAAGGACCAGGTCCTCACATGACGTTGGGGAGCAGAGCCCAGATGTCACGTGAAAAAAAGGAAACTTTATCCTGATTGAGCTGCCGTGTTTTGAGATCTTCTCATCAGCAGGTTAGCCTGTATCTGCCTGGGTCTGAGGTAGGACTTACAATTTCTTTGCTCATATGCAATTTCAAGTCAAAGCACTTAACATCGCCATGGAGGTCATCACACACATACTTTCCTTCTAACATGGACATGCTCAGATTTAGAACTACCTGAAAAAGTACATGTTACTAATGTATTTAACCAGAAAGTCCCTGTCTCCTAGTCTACAAATTTCATCTGTAAGGAAGTTGTCACTATATCACACTCCAGCTGGGAGGTTCCCAGGTTTCACTTTTATTGTAGGTTAAATTTTAAGCTCCTTCTTCTCTTTTTCTTATTAAAAGCTTCCTTTGGATCCTGGCTGTTTCTTTCTCTTTTATTTTGGGATCCTGGCTGTTTCTTTCTCTCTTTTATTTTGATGGTTGTTTATTCTTCATGTTTGGACACTTGTTTCTCCAAGAACTTATGGGATACCACGATACACCAGGTCCTGAAGCAGGCTCTGTGCCTCTGGGGAGTGAAACATCCCTTACCCTGAAGGTCATGGAAGCTTGCAACTAAAGACATGTGTACAACATGTCCCCAGGCAGGTGGAGTGAGGACAACCCCAGGTTTGCAGCACGAACACTGGGCTCCAGGCCTGGACTTTTCTTCTCTACGTACTTCTGCAGGGGCAGGGGTGCTCTGTAATGCGCAGTTCTCAAGGAAAGCCCAAGCTCTTCTGACGAGTATGAAAAGGTGAGGCAGAAGGTCAAGGTGAGTGTGGCCAAGGTCAGAGACGAGACTCTGCTCACCCCAGGGGAGCGGGGCACCTGTTACACTGGGGAGCAGCCCCGCCAGGCACGTGGGCAGCAGGCTCTACACTCAGGCCTGGCTCACACGCCAGGTCATCAAATCCACCCTCCCACATTCCCCAGGAGCCTGAAGAGGTGGTACATAAGGAGTTTCTTATCTCTTAATGGAGAACCCACTATGAAAAAGATTCTCACGGACCGCTGGCTGAGGCAAACAAGTGTTTCAGGAGCCTGGATGCGGTCCTAGAAAAGGCAAGTGCTTTTAAGCACAGAAAACAGCCAATAAGGAGCCCAGCTCTCCAGCAGGAACACAGGTCAGAGGGTACAGTGAGGACACCGGCCGGCGTGGCACCTGCACACATTGGCTTGAAATTGCATCTGACAGAAGTGATACCAGAGAAGTAGAACCCTGTGTGACACCCCCTCTCCCTCCTGCGTCTGTGTGGGCACTGGTTCAGGGCCCCTTTGATTCTAGGGGACGCTCTATTGTGACTCACGGTCACTGTCACCCCTTCACAGTGAGGACTGGCTCCTTCCTCCTGAGCACCAGGCTGCACCCCTTTCCACCCATCAGACTCTCACATCAACCCTATGAGGCTGGCCTTATGTCATTGCCACTTTGCAGACAAGGAGCTAAAGCACAGTGAAGTTCAGTAACACGTCCGGGTCCCAGAGGTGGCGGAGTGGTAGACTGTCCTCTGGAGCCCAGCACATACCTGCCACTCATGCTGCTCTTGATAACAACACAAACACTTACCTAGCTGTAGACCCTGAGCCATGCAAGCTAGGCAACTCAGTTACTGCTCACAGGAACCATGAGAAGTAGGAATCAGTCATTACTGCCACTTGACAAGTGAGAAAAACTAAGAGGCAAATCAGCTCCTAGATGTCATGAGGCTGGTAAGAGGGAGCCAGCCCTCTTCTTTTAACCGCCATCCAAACCAGAGAGGTGGGGGGCCCTGACAATTCTCTGTTTAGTGCAGAAGGAAAAGGGAAGGTGGATTGCTGACCATTAGGCTGGGAGGGTCCAGACTTGTGTTGCATTCATCCAGTTTGGAGAAGAATTGTTCATTTTTCCACTCTCGGGGAAGACAAGCAAACAGCAGACTGACTCTGATAAGCTCCTAATCATATTCGGGACACTGGTTACCAGATGAGCATATGATCAAGCCCCTAGAGGGTCTGTTTGGTGGCATGTGCCCCAGTGCTTCCCTAGAAGATGAGGGGCTAGCTGCCTGCAACTCCCCAACAACCCCAAGTCTGTTGTGGCCTCAATCCAGGGGTGCTCAGCCAGTCATATGTCCCCACATTCCACCTGGGCTCCTGAGGGAAGGTCACTCA